TCCAGCAGGCCACATGAGAGCATTTCTCCTATAAATAGGAGAGGTAGTGAGGTAGAAAATGAGTGGGTTGTGTGGAGCTTTTGAGAGAAAAGAAAGAGTGAGTTGAGAGAGAACTTGTAATAGTTTGGTATTCTCCTCATAGTAAAAACCCCCTCCTGTAGACGTAGGTAAGTTTGCCGAACCACGCAAATCTCGTGTCTGTATTGTCTTAACTGTGAGTTGTCATTGCTTGTAGGTTTCCTCGACATTTCAGTCCTAGAACTGATGAGAGGAAGAGTGTATATTTCACTTTGTTGAAATATTTCACTTTCGATTCTTGTTTCCTTTGAGAAATAAGAATTTTACTATCTATTCTAATTTCCTTTGAGAAACAAGAATATAGAGGTTGACTTGTGCTTTTGTGATAACAAAAGCCAGGGCTATCTCTCAGGTGATATCGCTTCCGCGGCGGTGGACGTGACTCTGCGCCCAACAGATAGTTGGAATGAGAGACATGAAACATTCTTCAAATATTCATAAGACAACAATGGATACCGGGTCATTTCACAATGTTGATGATGATTTCCTCCTTGACAGTTTCAATCTAGATCCATTCCATGTGCCAGCTACTCTTAAAAATAGAATATCAAATGCAGTTGAGAAAGATAAAATCTTCCCTTCTGCTAATGTTTCTGACAGCTAGCGATGACCAGTATAGGATAGCTCAAGGTAAGTCTATGGAGCATGTCCTAAGACGACGAGATACTCTCAGCCAAGCCAAACTACGGCACTCAAGGGCTACATGCTGCGAGGGGCCTTGGTCGAACAAGAGTTGTTTGCTCGGTCATGAAGGGGTCAATCAGTAAGAAGTCATCTTAAATCAGCAAGCTTCAGGAAGAACTCAGTCATCTCGAGCACAAGCTTTGTGAGCGGGATGACGCGATAAGGTACCTAAAGGAAGAGACCGAGGTCAAGAGGTGGGAGAGCATTGATTCTTTTGAAACGGGCTCAACTAGCTCGTCAAAACGCTGAGGCCTTACAGAACTGACTAAAGAAGGAGAAGGTTGCACATGAGAGGTTAAGGAAGGAGATAACCCCAATTGAGAGACAATGAGAGTCATCTCTCGCCGAGATACAACATGAGAGGTTAAGGAAGGAGATAACCCCAATTGAGAGACAATGAGAGTCATCTCTCGCCGAGATACAGGTGCTGTAGAGTCGCCTCAACCACTTTAGAGTCCAAGGCCTCCCAATTGAGGTTGTTGAAAATTACCGTAACGACACTCTCTGGAAGACCGAGGTAGCCCTGTCCTACAAGGCTGGCTTCGACTACCTCATGATACAGCTGCCGGCCGAGCTTAAGATCGATCCTGGATAGTTCTATTATTCCTCACGAGTCGCCAATTGCTTTGAAGCTTTGCGGGAGATAGAGAAGAGAAGAGGATGGCTGGTCCTAGATGTCAATAATGGAGACAAGGAAGGTGAGGAATAGGCCCAAGGAACAAGTGAGGGCTCCGCCCAAGATAGTTGGGCTAGCTGTCCTGAAGAGGAGGACGATAAAGAGGTCAGGTCCGAGCCTCGGTCGTCTCCTCTGCTGACTTCTACTGCTGCTGCTTCTCTAGCCGCCTTCTTGTGGGCTCCTGCGTCTTCCACATCCATGTGCCCTCCAAACTTTCCAATTTCCTTTAGCATTAGCAAGATACAGATTTATGTATTAGCATTAGCACAATTTGTAAGTTACAAACGATAAGGGTGTGCATTGGCATAACAAGCAAAAGATTTCCTTAATTTGTCACGTTATTATGCATATTTCAATATGGAGTCATGAATGATTCATGCGAATGTATATAAATACTTTTCTTGTTAGAATTATATGGAATTACGGAAGCATTGTTGGATTAACTTTCTATTATCGCTTTCAATTGTTTACATTTTAAAAAAATTTTACTGTATATAGAAATTTTTTTTTGAAAAACTTTTTCTCAATTTTTAAAAAAACTGATTGTAGTGGAGAACAAGGAGATAACATATATTTGAAAAGTAGAAATTCTCATTAATTTTTGATTACTTAAGTAATGGACTTTTTGATATGCATTCCAGAAAGAGCAGCTATTTTAGTTTTACTCTGATTCATAACTCTTAATTTCTACCATTTTCTTGCATGTCTATCACATAAATATATAAGATGCCAGTCAAGTGCACTTTACTATTGCAAATACTATTGCAAATACTCTTAATCTCAATAGCTTTGATTATAATAGTGCGCTTTCCTATTGCAAATACGTGGGCCCACGTATCAGTGGGCATAAACTTTGACAGCCGGCAATCACGTCCAAATATAGTTAGGTTTAACTTAAGACTTAATCGAGAAGAAAATTACCCTAATTATGACCGTTACTTAGCTTAATCTTGACGCCGACTTAAACCGGCTTAAATGGATTAGCGGGGCCTTCGTATCTCTCGTCTTCCCCCAAAACCGAAACCCTAAGCGAGCCTCTCCTCTCCCTTTTCTTCTTCCAAATTCTTCCCAAGAAAAAAAAAACTCTAGCTTTTCGGTGCCCCTATCTTCTCAATTCTCGCGGAGATCCAGGGTTTTCTGCCCTAAATCGTTAAAGATTCGACGATCCAAGGCGGAAGAGGAGCCTATCTCAAGCAGAGGGTTTTCTGCCCTAAATCGTCAAAGATTCGACGATCCATGGCGGAAGAGGAGCCTATCGAGGGTTTTCTGCCCTAAATCGTCAAAGATTCGACGATCCATGGTGAGAGAGGAGCTGATCTCAAGCGATTTCAAGGTAACGATCTTATTTTTTTACTATTTATGTGTACATTGGAAATTTCTGCGGCTTACATCCTTGATCGATCAATGCAGGTAAATTCTCCCATCCTCAAGTTCCCATCGCTGGATCCATGGTGGGGAAGTACTTCGAAGAAAATCAAAGTTGGGAAAGGTAACATCTTGACCCTTTAATTGAAGATAACTTTTTTATTTTTGTTCAGTTCTGTTGAAATCATGTTCTGATGTTGATAGCTAGAAACATACTGTCATCAAATTTCTTGAACTTGTCATCTTTAGATGTAAAAACCTTCCTTGGCAATGTATTTAATTAACTCGCTTATTCTTTCTGATGCAAACTTGTTAATTGTTTGTTGGTTTTCTTAGCAAGCGTAATTAGTGCAACTTAAGTAAAATCTTGGATGGTTGTTTTGCTTGAGATTAAAAAACTTTGGTTAGCCATCACATTGTGCTGCTTCTGTGAGCACGTCATTGTGGCCTTATGGGTTATGTATTTTAATTTAATAACCTATTCTTTATGATGCAAAGTTGATAACTGCTTGTTGGCTTTTTTAGCACACATAATTAGTGCAGCTATAGTAAAATCTTAGGGTAGCTGTTTTGCTTAAGATTAAAATATTTTTTTACAAATTTGTAAACTACATTTTTTTCAAAATGCAAAATTTTGACTTTTCAAACCTTTTAAAAAGTTTTTTCAAACGATTCGCCTTAATGACATTTTAGCGTTGGTGACATCTTACCTTTTTATGTTTTTACTTTTCATTTTTTTTCAAAGTTTTCAATAGTTTTAAGAATTAAACTAACTTTTTAGCAATTTCCAATACCATTTTACGTACTTACATTTTTTTTTTCAAATTTCCAATTTCTTAAACTCTTTACACTTTCACATATTTTCAATTTGTTCATGCTTTCTAATTTCAAACTATTTTCAAGTTTTCATATTTCGTAGAGAAAGTTTTAATCTTCTAAAGTTTTCAACGATTTAAATGTTATAAAAAGTAGGTTTGATAGATATTTACATTCCAAACTTTCCAATTTCTCAAACTATTTCCATTTTTACATATATTCAAAAAATTTAAACTATCCTATTTTCAAACTTTTTCAAGTTTACTTTAAAAGTTTTCTCAAACTTTGTTTTTTAAATTTCCAAACATCAAATTTCTCAGAACTCTTTTGACATTTGACTATAATTTTCAAACTTTTTAATTTCTTAAACAATTTTCATGTTTTCATGTTTTTTTGAAAAGTCTTAATCTTTTCTAAGTTTTCAATGGGGTTTCAATAATTAAACTAACTTTCCGTATTTTTAAATGCCATTTTTACATATTTACATTTTTGCGAACTTTCCAATTTCTCAAACTCTTTCCATTTTCAAACTTTCAAATTTGTCAAAGTCTTTCCATTTTCACTTTCTTCAAACTTTATGATTCTTCACTTTTTTTTCAAGATTTTACTTTAATTTTTAACTTTCCAATTTCTCAAACTCTTTCCATTTTCAAACTTTCAAATTTGTCAAAGTCTTTCCATTTTCACTTTCTTCAAACTTTATGATTCTTCACTTTTTTTTCAAGATTTTACTTTAATTTTTAACTTTCCAATTTCTTCAACTTTTTTCAAGTTTTCATAAATTTTTTTTTCACTTTAACATAGTTGACTTGTTTTGCATTTCATTTAGCTTTCAATTGTTCCAATTTCTCATACTTTTCAAACATTCCAAGTTCTTATGATTTAGCTTTAAACTTTCCAAAATTTCAAACTATTTTCAAATTTTGTATTTTATAGAAAAAGTATTAATCTTGAAAAAGTTTTCATCATTTTAAACTATAAAATAGGCTTTTCTGCATTTTCAAATGTCATTTTTAGATATTTATATTTCAAACCTTCCAATTTCTCTAACTCTTTCCACTTTTACATATTTTCAAAATTTTTAACTTTTCTATTTCGCAATTTCTTTTCCATTTTTATATAATTAGATTTTTTGAGCTTTCCATAATTGAAACTTCTTGATTTTTTTTATTTTTTGAATATTCAAACTTTTTCAAGTTTTCATGACTTTACATGTTGCTATAAACTTTTTTTTAAACTTTCCAATCTTCCATTTTCTCAAGCTCCTTTGTCATTTCGCTATAATTTCCTAACTTCCAATTCGTGAAACACTTTTCATGTTTCATATTTCTTAATGAAGTCTTAAATCTTTTCCATGTTTTCGATGGTTAAAATAAATAAATTAACCTTTCCATATTTTCAAATACCATTTTACTTATTTACATTTTCTTTCACATTTTATAACTTCTCAAACTATTTTCAAAATTTCACAATATCTTTTGAAAAAGTCTTAATCTTTCCTAAGTTTTTAAACTTTCCAACTTGTCAAACTTTGTTCATTTTCACATATTTTAACTTTGTTCACATTTTTCTGATGTTTCGACCTTTTTTTGACATTTCACTTTTCAATTTCATAATTTTTTAAGTTTTCAAAACTTTATAAGGTTTTCAAATACCTTTTTTCCACTTTAACATAATTCACTTGTTTTGCATTTCACATAGCTTTCAAACGTTCCAGTTTCTATACTTGTCAAACGTTCCAGTTCTCAATAGTTCAATTTTGAAACTTTCCAAATTTTCAAATTGCTTTTAATTTTTCTTAGTTTATTGAGAAAAGTTTTAATCTTTTTCAATGGTTTAAATTATAAAACTAGGTTTTCCACGTTTTTAGACGCCCTTTTTAGATATTTGCATTTTAAACTTTCCAATTTCTCAAACTCTTTCCATCTTTACATATTTTCAAATTTTTTTAACTTTCCAAAATTCCAATTTCTACAAACTCTGTTGACATTTCGCAATAATTTTCAAACATTCCAATTTTTCAAAACACTTCTCATGTTTTAATTTTTTAAAAATAAAAGTGTTAACCCTTTCTATGTTTCCAATTCCATATTTTCAAATACTATTTTTGCATATTTACATTTTTTTGTTCAAATGTTCCAATTTCTCAAACTCTTTCCATTTTTCAAAGTCTCCAATTTGTAAAATCTTTCTGGTTTGTTTTTTACATTTTGCTTGCTCTCAAATGTACAATTTCTCATACTTTTGAAAGCATTCCAATTTCTTATACTTTAACTTTCCAAATTTTCAAACCATTTTCAAGTTTTCATATTTTTATAGAAAAATTTTTAATCTTTGATGGGTTTAAATTATGAAAATAGGGGTTTTCACATTTTCAAATTCCATTTTTATGTATTTACATTTTTTTGAACTTCTCAATTTCTAAAACTTTTTGACATTTAATTTTTTTTAACTTTCAAACTTTTTCAAGTTTCATAACTTTACAAGTTTGTCTTTTCTAACTTTTTCTAGTTTTCATATATTTTTTTGAAGTCTTAAGTCTTTTCTAACTTTTTAATTGTTTCTTAATCTTTTCTAACTTTTACATATTTCAAATACCACTTTTACTTACTTACATTTTCAGATGTCATTTTTAGTTATTTGATGCTTTTAGAGTGTTTTCTAGAAGTGCGTAAGAATAATCATGTAGATTGTTATGTGTAGAAGGAGGAGGTTATGGAAGCACCTCATGGTGTCTGTAAATACCCCATGAGGAAGTGCTTGTAATGAAGTTGTACGGGATTGAAGTAGTAGAGAAATTAAGTTGAGTAAAACCAAGCTATAGAGAATCAAATTGTAGAAACAACTTCTCTTGGATACAAAAGGGCTTTTCTTTATACTACTTTCACTACTACTACATAATTTTGTCCTCTTTACAAAATACTTAGTCCAACCTAATATAGCCTCTTTGAAAATTTCAAACACCATCTTCACATATTTTTAGTTTCTTCAAACTTTATGATTTCTCAACTTTTTTTCTGCATCTTACTTTAATTTTCAAAATTTCCAATTTCTTTAACATTTATAGTTTTCATAACTTTATAAGGTTTCTTTAGCATAATTGACTTGGTTTGCATTTCACTTAGCTTTCAAATGTTCAAATTTCTCATACTTTTTAAATGTACCGATTTCTTATACTTTAGTTATCAAACTTTACAAATTTTCATACTGTTTACAAGTGCATATTTTATAGAAAATGAATTAATCTTCAAAGGTATTCATCAGTTTAAACTATAAAAATAGGTTCCCCACATTTTCAAATGACATTTTTAGATAGTTCATTTCAAGCATTTCAATTTCTTAACTCTTTCTATTTTTACGTACTTCAAAATATTTCAAACTTACAAATATCATAAACTCTTTTTTTAATATATTTACATTAACTTTCCGAATATCTAGAACTTTTTAACATTTTTAGCTTTTTAAAATTTTTAATTTTCAAACTTTTCAAGTCTTCATAACTTTACAAGTTGTCTCAAACTTTCTTTAAACTTTCATAACTTTCAATTTCTTTCAATGTTTTCAATGGTTTAAAATAAATAAACTAGCTATTCTATATTATTAAATACCGTTTTACTTGTTTACATTTTCTTTACGATTTTCTTACTTCTCAAACTATTTTCAAGTTTTCGTAATAATTTTTGAAAGTCATAATACTTTCTAAGTTTTCGAACTTTCCAATTTAACAAACTCTTTCCATTTTCACATATGTTGACTTTTTTCAAACTTTCTAATTTCTCAACTTTGTTCCACACTTCATCCAATATCTTTTTTTATTGGCAAAGTTTTCAGAACCTTGTAAGGTTTTCAAATACCTTGCTTTTTCACTTTAACATAGTTGCCTTTTTTTGCATTTCACTTAGCTTTCAAATATTCCAATTTCTCATGCATTTCAAACTTTCCAATTTCTCATAGTTAATTTTCAAGCTTTCCAAATTTTCAAACTAGTTTTAAGTTTTCATATTTTATAGAAAAAAGTTTTAATCTTCAAAAGATTTCAAAGGATTAAATTATATAAGTAGGTTCCCCACTTTTTCAAAGGCTCTTTTTAGATATTTATATTTCAAAATTTCCAATTTCTCAAATTCATTCCATTTTCACATATTTTAAAAAAATTTAACTATCCGATTTTCCAACTTCTTTTCCATTTTTGCATGTTTACATTTTTGGCAAATTTTTTAATTTTTAAAACTTTTTGACAATTTTAGTTTTTTCAAATTTTAAATTTTAAACTTTTACACGTTTTCATGACTTTAAAAGTTTTCTCTG